CCGCTGCTCACAGGTCAATAAAGTACTTATTATTGCCCTAGGGTAATAATGGCCACTTTATTGACTAGCTGAGCATGCGCCTATGGCACTTGGTGCATAATGTACTATTAATTAAACCATGGTTAATATAATTTATTTGAGTTAAACAAAAATATATGTCTGTCTTAGAATCAACTAGGTTACTTATTTGTTTTAAATAAAAATTTTATTCGACACAAAAAAGACTTTTATTTGAAGCAAATAAAATTTTATTTAAACTAAAAAAATTGATTTTGAAACAAATAAACAGTCTAGTTGACTATAAGTAAAATTTATTTTCTTTTGGGTGTATACACTGAAAAAAAATTTATTTGATTCAAATAACTGATTACTTGACTATTATAAATTAAATATTTAGGTACTTGAATCAAATAATATTTATTGGTGTCAATTAAATAGTATTTGAATCAATAATTTCAGTATTTGAAGTAAATACCTTTTAATTGACTTCAATAAATATATTATTTGATTCAAGTAAATATTTAATTAATAATAGTCAAGTAATCGGTTATTTGAATGAAATAAATTTTTTTTCAGTTTGCAGTCAAACATTATTTAAGTTTAATTTATTGAAATATTTTTTTGGATAATTCTTCAGTTTGTTGTTAGTTATTTTTGTTTACTCTCTGCGGTTTTCTAATTTTCTTAAAAATGTTTTAAATTTTTAAATTAATGAAATTCTAATATAATGTTTTTAAGATTAAATAATAACAAAAATTCATTAAACAAAATAGTTTTTAATTAGAAATTATAATTTAATTTGTAAATTTAATTTCACATTATAAAACATAAAAATAATGACTTATAAATTACTGTAGAAAGATTAATTTTTATTAATTTTTAACACTTTTGTTCTGTAATAATTAGTTTTGCAAGAAAAATTTAGAAATTATTTTATTTTCCTTAATTTTACGTTAATGAGTGCATTTCTTTTATTTTAAAAGATCACATATATATTGAATTCTTGAATAGAATTTTATTAAAATTGCATTGAAAATAATTGAATTCTTACAAAGAATTTTATCAAATTTTTTGACAATATAATTGATTTCTTTCAAAGAATTTTATTAAAATTTTTGAAAATATGTAATTAAATTGCTACAAAAAATTTTATTATTTATAAAAATAATTGAATTTTTATAACTATTAGAATTTTAACAAAATTTTTGGAAATAATTAAATTGTTTCAAAGAATTTTATTAAAATTGAAAAAAATTGAAAAATGTTTCGATGAAGAATTTTTTAAGCTTTTTAAAAATAAAAAATGATTGAATTCTTTTTCGGGAAATTTTATTAAAATTGTATTGAAAATAATTGAATACTTAGGAAGAATTTTATTGATCAATCATAATTGAATTCTTTTGAAAAATTTTATTATTTTTAAAAATAATTGAATTCTTTTGAAAAATTTTAATATTTTTAAGAATAATTGAATTCTTTCTAGAAATTTTTTTTAAAAAATAATTGAATTTCTGCTAAGATTTTATTTTTTTATTTAGGAAGTATACGGGCATAAAGCTCTATTTTAATTTAAAACTTACGAAAAAATTTTTGAAAATTATTGAATTCCTGTGAAAATGTTTATTAAAATTGAATTAAAAATAATTTAAATGTTTCGAAAAATTTGAAATAAAAATAATAAAGTGTACCTAAGTAATAATAAAATATTCTTAGATACATTTTTTTAATTTTAGAATATTTTGTTTTTTATTTATTTAAAAATCTCTAATTGTTTTATAATAATAATAGTACCTAATAATAAAATATCCTTAAATAGTGTTTTTTAGTTTTTAAGTATTTTGTTTTTTGATTGGTGAAAGACTATAATTGTTTTGTAAAACAAATTCTGTATTATTGACCCTGCATTCTATTCATTCGATTCGGTTATTCAATTTTGCTAATTCAATTGCTTCTGATTTTCTGAATGTGTGGTGCATGCTATAGGCAATTATTGTTTTTTTTTCTTTTTTACCTCCATTGCCCCCTCGACGTTGATAAAAATCAAAGAAAGAAAAGAAAGTTCGTTGGCAACTTTTAAAGGGGTTTCAACCCCAAGCTTTTTGAACAGAAATTTTTTTTCAGAGAAATCCTGTTTGTCCCCTTACCTGCTCAGGGATGACTTTTAATTTTTCTAGGCCCTTCGCTAAATTTTTGGAGCAATAAACCATTTTTTTTGTAGTTTCTAATGACATAATTTATATTTTACTAAATTTATTATATTTTTATTTAACAAACACATTATTTGTATATTATTTTAGTAATTACTTATTTAAATTACACAGGTTTTCTGAAAATATGAAATTGAGAGAAAAAATGTATCAAAATGTTGCATCGCAACAATTTTGATACGTTTTTTCTCTCAATTTGTTTTCCTCAGAAAAAGTATGTTTTGAATACTTTCAAAGTTTTTAATTTTCAAAAAAATATCAAAACTGTATTTTCGGCCTTTGGAAGGCGGAATTATACTTTTCGGCCTTGCAAAATTTTCATTCTTTTTTTTGGCGTTTTTGAATTGAATTTTTATTTTTGAAATGTATTTGAAAATTCTCTGCCGGTTGTTTCACTTTTATTTTGAAATTTTATAAAGGAAAAAATGATGTTGACGTTTATTTGTGATCGTGAGTGATTTTTGGAATTTTACGGAATAAATCACTTGACACCAGTATAGTTTAAAGTGGAATAACATTAGTACTAAAAGTCAACATGGAAATATTTTTAACCCTTATTATAACATAAAGCGACTTTTGAACCTACAACCTAATCTTGAAACGATCGTTACATGAATATGTTTATTCAGCTGTTGTCCTATAAGTATTTTCCAAACCAAATGAATGCACTAGAAAACTATTTTCTTAAACTGATTCGAATTGGATATTTTTTTTGTTATCAATCTTATTACACATTTTCCTCAGATACAAATCACTATGTCTCTGATTCGTTTTATTCCAAAATATTCGGAAACTGAATTTTTCTATGTTCTATTTTAATATTTACGAATTTTTAATTTTTTCTAGTTTATTTTACTGATTTATTTATTTATTATTATTACTATTGTTACTATTTAGGCGTTTTGTAATTATTTTGTAATAAAAGGCCTTGGCATATTATTATAAAATATTTACAACAAAGTTTTAACAAAAAGAAAATATTATTATTTTTTGTTTTTTTATTTTTACTACGAAGGCTAGAATTTTAATTTTTTACTTAAAAGCAGTTGCCGGTTGTAACTAATTACTAAATACTGCTAACTGAAATTTCAAGTGACTTAATTATGCATAGAAAAAAATATAGAGCAGCTTTTACTATATTTGCAGAATAAAACCTAAAATTTCTAAAATTTACTTCGAACGTCTATTATTTTTAATAAAATTTTAATAAAAATTCTCGAAAGAATTCAATTACTTAAAATTTTTTTTAAAACTCTTTATATGAATTCAATTATTTGCAATGCGATTTCAATTAAATTTTTCGAAAGTATTTCATTACTTTCATAAAATTTCCATAAAATTTCCATACTTCAAAAAACAATTAAATTATTTAAATTTCAATTTTCAAAAATTTTAATGAAATTCTATGTAAAAATTAAATTATTTCATATGCAAAATTATAAAAGGTTAATAAAATGACAAGAAATAATATAAAAATTAATATAAAAATTTATCAAAACTTTCATCTTTTAAAACAGAAGAAATTTCACATATTAACGTAAAATGGTTGAAAATAAATTAATTAATTAATTCAATTATTATTTGAAATTTGAAATTTTCTATAATCTTAATCCCTAGGGAAAAATAATAATAGTGATTGAATATTAATATAAAAAAAAACAGTTGATGATATTAATAATTTTATAATTAAAGATATTAAATATAAATTTGTTTCAAACTTTTTTTTGTTTCTCTAATTATTGTTATAGCGAATTAAAATATTCTTAAGGGTCAGGGAAGAAGTTGAGGTATCACAGTTTTTTTAAAAGTAAATCAAATTAATACTAAAAATTTAGATCAATTTTTGATTTGATCCATAATTTTTGGTATTAGTTCGTTGCAATCTGATACTTTTAAGTTAACAGTGGTTCTTTCTGGAAATCAGGGAAAAGTCAGGAAAATATAAAATCAAATTTCTGTGGCAACTCTGATATGATTACAAATTTTTTGTACCAATTGAGCTAATAGAATGCATAATTAGTCAATTAAAAGCAAATTGGAAATTATTAATTGTAAATTATGCATTGTGTTTTAATAATCACTAATTATGGAGAAACAGAAAAGATTCTGAAATGTACACTTGTTTAAATACTTAAAACAAATAAACAAATTGAATGCAATTTCTTGAAAAATTTTAACACTTTAAAAAATATTTCACAAGGCAAGTATAAAGATTTAGCGAATCGTTGAAAACAAAAATGTCCTTGTACGATGTTTATTTTTCTCCAACTTTTACTCGAATTTTTTTTCCTGTTCTTTAGAATTTATTTCTAAAGAGCAATTTAAAAGGACTTGAGAACCTTTTAAACCACTCATCATTCTAATTACTCATAAAGCTATACCATAGAACATGGTCTTTTGTCAAAAGACTAAATATTGCACATGACACGTTAAAAAGCTCAAAGTTCCTCCTGAGGTCCATATTCAATGGAGAGTATACGTCGAGACATCTCTTTACACGCACGTCTCAAGGTGATTTATCAAGGCCACTTCCCCGTGTGTTGTATAGCAATGGCTCATCTTGATCTAGTCTCTCTGTGATTCATTTTATTGTATATATGTATGTATACACCGTGAGCTGATTTACATTAGCATTTTTGCAATATCTCTCCATTTCTGTTTTGTGATAGTAAATTGTGCGCATATATATGTGTTAAGTAATGTGAATCCATGCCGCGATGCAATTGGAAGGGATGGTAAAAGATCCGCGGTCAGGGGGGAAATATAGGTGGGGTTACGGGGATAGAGTACTGTATCTATGGAGGGGTAAAAAGAGCCGGAGGGACAACGTCTCTCTGGGCGACGTTCTGCGTCTTCGTCAGTCAAAACGCGATTGCCCTACGTTATGGTTCGTGGTGCATACACTTCTCCCACATAACAAGCATTCACAGTATAACACAATTAAGTAACACGGTTGGCGCTCGACAATTTCCGCGGGCAACATTACGTTTAAAAATAGCATATCACCGCACGTGAAGTTTTTTTGGTGGTTTTTTTTTAAATGTAATACCGTTTTTTAATTTAAATTATAAATATTCCTGTAGTGATTAGATTTAATCTGTAATTTTTGAACATTTTTTGAACAAAAGAATCCTCAACGATGTTGAGGCAATTAGTGATTTTTGCGGTGATATTCACTGTGGTTCAATGTCATGACAGCTTTAGAGTGACCTTCCAGTGGAAATATATCAACTACACGTGGCCTTCGACGGAGGTTAAGGAGAGGGCAATTACCCGATTTCAATATGTCCCGTGGAATAATGCAATATCGGGTATTAAAATATGGAAAGAGAAGATCTATCTCTCGATACCGAGATTTAAATCCGGAGTGCCGGTCACCCTTGCTGTAACGCCAGCAATTCCGGATACAATGGAAATTTACACACACAGTGGACCGGCTAGAGTCAATATCACTGATCCGAAACTTGAACCGTTTCCCAGTTGGGAAATGCAGGAAATTGGCGATTGTGACGCACTGCAATTCGTTCAGGGAATGGAGATTGATCCATTGGGAAGAATGTGGGTATTGGACTCGGGACGTGTTGACACGATGACACTAAATCCCCAATCAAAGTGTCCGCCACGTTTGGTGATTCTTGATCTTGAAAATAATGGCGAAGTACTGAGGAGTTTTGAATTTCCCGAGGATGTTGCTAATCGACAAACGGTTTATCTCAATGATATTGTCCTTGATCATGAGGACGGTGGTTATGCCTACATCACCGACACCAGTGAACAAGATCCTGGAATTATTGTTTTTTCGTTGAAGAACAATACCTCGTGGAAGGTGCGCCATCAATCAATGAGAGCACAACGTGAAGCAATTCCGTTCGTCATCGACCGGGTACAAATAAACAGACCCTTCCACGTGGACGGTATTGCCCTTTCACCAGCAAGTGTAAGCGAGAGGATTGTATACTATTCACCTCTTTCTTCCTTCTACCTCTATTCAATACCAGCTGCCGCTCTCCGGAATAGAACCGATGATATTAATTCCTATGTGAAAGAATTAGGAAGAAAACGATCGCAAAGTGATGGAATAGCAATGTCAGCTACTGGTGTTTTATACTTTGGTTTACTCGCCGACGATGCCGTCTCCTATTGGAATACAACACAACGTGCAAATTCAAATTATCAACAATCATCGTTTGCAATCGGTCAAAGGATATTCACAAGGGATCATGCTCTCCTACAATGGCCCGATACTTTCGCCTTCGATGAGAAGGGTCAACTCTGGTGTGTCACAAACAGACTACAAATGATAATCTCCAGCATGTACAACATAACCGCAGATAATTTTAGAATCATCAAATCGAATGCAATGGCTAAAAATTATCAGTACTACGAAGACGGCAGTGCTCCTGTACTTCCGGCAATACCCGCCGGTGTTGATCGTGTCGGATTTTCCCTGGCGACATGTTTAGCTGTGTTGTTAGTCTTCTTGATGAAGTAGAACAAAAAAAAATAATTAAGTAGCTTTCATTGGTACTTGTGCTATAAATGCTATAAATAATTTAGCCATAATGCTAAATATTCAAACAGAACATTGTAATGTCGCATTTCTTTAAATAGGAACACTAGAAGGAAATCATAAAATGATTTTTTCATTCTATTAACAAAAAAGAATTTGCGAGAAATTATAGATCTAGATCCGCCAACTAGCACCAAAGATAGAAAAATGTTTTTTTTTTGTTTTGAAAGACAATGTTGGTGCTTTGATAAGCAAACAGTTGTAGTCATAATTTACACAAGTCTCATGCCAAAAAAATTCTAGAACATTACATACAAAATAATTATAGAAGTACTGTATTAATAATCGCCATAGATAATCGTTAAGAGTCTTAATTTTTCCTCGAACGTGACAAATATTGTCTTTCACTATATAATAAAATTCTCCAGTGACTTCAAAAATACTGGGTAAAAAACTTTGTTCTATCTTTCTAGAAAATACCACACAAATCTGATTAAATACTGAAAAGGTTTTTGATTTTACATTATTATTTATATTAAATAATATTTACTACTTTCTTATATTTATACCACTATTTTCTTCTATTGTCAGCTATTTACTATCATCTTCTTTTTTTCTGCCTTCTTCTACTTTTTTTTATATTTTCTCCTACTATTAATGAATTAAAAAAATTAAACCAATTAAACCAAAAGAATCAATTTTGATTTGTAAGAAAAATAAATTCTAAATAAATTTCAATGGAAGAAAATTGAAACAATAATTCTATTCTGAAATGCGGTGTTAGTGGGGGGATCTTGTAATCGATGATCTGAACATGATTAGATGAATGTGTACACTTTGTAGAAGCGGAAAGCTTAACTGTAATTACTAAGTCGATACGCGAAACTTACTTTTTATGGACAAACACACAAACGGCATCTATTCATAGTGTGTACGACTGTTGCCGCGTGTTACGGCCCTTTGCCAAGTTTTCTGTTTGGCTTAAAAGCGAAACTACTAATCGTCATTTCTAGATCGGTCTAAGAATGTTTTAAGATCATTCACCTGACTTTTCTTATCCACATGTTGACGCGCTCTGAAGAAGGGGATCTTAAGCAAACGAATTATAGGTCATGTTTGATTATCCTCGTTATCTCATTATTTTACTATAATAATAGTTAAAATTAAAATTAAAAACAATAACAATATAATATTATTATAATATACCTATAATAAATAATAGAGAAAAGATGTTTTTTTTATTCTTGTGGCCTATTGGCGACAAGAATAATAAAAATATCTTTTCTCTATTATAATTTGCTAAAATAAAGAAGTATTCACAATTCACATATTATAATAAATAATAATAATAATAATAATAATAATAATAAAAATAAGAATATTAATAATAATTAATATTAAAAATTATTAATTAAATTATTATAATGTTAAATTATTAAAATAAAAATTATTATTTTTTATTATTATTATTATTAACAAAAAAATTTATGAAACCATGTATTTTAATTAAATAAAACATTATTTGTGTGGTTTAAAGACTTCAGTATATTAATAATTTTTTATATTAAACATGCCGAAGTCATTATGCCAAACTAATAATTTATTTAAGACCTTTTATTTAATAACAGTTATTTTTATTATCAGGTATAATTATAATCTATTTATTTTTTTTTTAATAATTATTATTAATATTATTATCACTATTATTAATATTATTATTAATTATCTTCATCAAAAGAACGATTTTTATTATATAAAATCGAAATCATTCTTTGTTGTAATTGATTGCAATGAAAATTTAAACTAGTTTTTATTAATTGAATCCTATTTCTGTATTTTCACTCGAAAATTACAAACATAACTTAATATCGTTGCTTTTAGGTCAATTTCTTCAAAAATGCGTTTGTAACAAATAAATTATGTAGGGATGGCAAAATAGTTTTTGAATGATTGATTTTGTTCTTTTTTAGATTTTTTATTATCTTGGAACTAAGTTGAAAAAATAATTAACAATTATTATTAATTATTAAATAGGTACTACTTAAATTTAAATTATTTAAATACTACTATTTAAATTCAAATTAATAGTAAATTAATATTACATTGATATTTAATCAATATTAAATTGAAATTAAACCGATATTAAATTCACATTAAATTAATATTTACAATCTTTTGGCAATTAAACTATTCATAAAATTAAAACTGAGAGAACAATATATTTGAATTAAACATAATTATCTTTATTATACAGTCAACTAAAAATTATTTTTAAAATAAACATAATTTTGATTCAATAAAAATAACGTTTAAGGGGAGGGTACAAAAAAATTGATTTTCATAATTTTTTAGCACTTTTTTTTTGAAAAAAAATCTCTATTTTTAGGCTCAAAATGCTAAAAAATACAATTATTCTTCATTTTTTAAAAAGGAAAATTCATTTCTTTAATTTTATAACTAATTTCAGATCATAATTTTTAGATATAAAAAATAAAAATACAAAAAAATTAGGATAAAATTGTGATCTGAAATTAGTAAGAAAAATAAACGAATGAATTTTCTTTTAAAAAAAAATGAAAAATAATTGTATTTTTTAACATTTTTAGCCTAAAAACAGAGATTTTTTTCAAAAAAAAATGCTATAAAAATTATGAAAATCAATTTTTCTATTTGAAATTTTTTTTGTGGATTCCAAAAACACATTTTCTACAAAATTACGTATGGATTCCAAAATCCACTGATTTTTAAGAAAAATAAAAATTCAAAAAGGGTCAAAATATTTTCTGACCGATTTTATTTTATGATCATTGAATTTCTCACAAGAAATTACTTTAAAAATAACTTTGTTGAATATTTAAATTATTTCTTTAATATAGTTAAAAATATAGGTGTATTCTCCCCTTAATTCAATTTCAAAATATTATGTTTAATTTAAATACTTTTTCAATTCATTTTTTTTTGTTGGATACATATTTTTGGAATAAAAAAAATTCTTCTCAGTGAATAATTAAATTGAATGAAAACTTTTGTTAAAGAAAAATAGAAAGTGATACTTTACAAATCGTGTAGTTTAAATTTTTTATTATCTTCTATAGTTTAATTGTATTATAATTATTAATTTAATATCAATTCCAATTTAAATTTTCTTTCTCTAATTAAATTAATTAAATGAAATTAATTAATAAAATGAAAAATTTAATTCAAGAATAACAGAAAGTGATTTTTTTTTAAATCGTGGTGTTTAAATTTTGTGTTGTATTATAATTATTAATTGTGATTAATTAATAATTAAATGTTAATTATTTGATTATAATTTAATTTAAAATAATATTAAATGAATATTAATTTTATTTCATTTAATATTAATTTCATTGAAGATTAATTTAATTTCATTTAACATTTAATGAATATTAATTTAAGTTCATTTAATATTTAATGAATATTACATTAAAATTAAATGAATATTAAATTGAAATTAAATTAATATTTAAATTTTGTTTATTGATTAGATTAGATAAATTGAAATAAAAATTTTATTCGAGAAAAAAATATATTTTTGTACAAATCGTAGTGTTATATTATAGAGTTTTTATTAATTATTGTAATTTCAAATTTATACCCTAAAGAAATACAAATTTTTGGATACAATTTTGGCGAAAAAATATCGTTCTGATTTTCCCATCTCTACATAAAATTGTTGTAAAATCACAACAAAAAAAGAAGGTTAATATTTTATTATTAAAATTCATTTGGTTTCTTCGATGAACAAACTTTGCGATTCGTCAGGTTTTCGAAAAAGGTTTTCGCTTTTTTACGCTTTTTTTAATTTCGAAATAGACTTATTTTTTAGTCTCGGCAAGGAAATCCGAAGGAATAATATAAATTTATTAGAAAAAAGTTTTACAGCATTAAAGAATTTAAATATTTTTTTATCAGTTGGTGTATATTTACCTTTTCTTGATTTTAAACAAAAGGGCATTATTTACTACGAGTAATATTAAATTTTTGTTTTTTGCAACTATTTTATATTAATTTTAGTTTTAAGTTGGTTTAAAAATGTTTTAAAAAAAAAGTGTTTTTGGTAATTACCCAGTTTTTTTTATTTTTTTTTTTTTTTTGTTGATTCAATGAGAGTCATTGACCATGAGAGAAGAGTTTAATGTACATGAGGTGATCTGGAAGTTGCGTGTAAGATATCGGACAAAAAAATTGTTACGATCGGTTAGAGACAAGTTGTTTTTATTTATACGAGTGAAACATTTTTCTCATGACCAAGTGCATCTTCTCTCGTCGTCATAGTGATGAAATCACGAATTAGGATAGAGTTTCTCTTAAGAAAAGAAGATTGTCACCGAATTACTCGAGCGGAATGACAAAAGCCTCTTTATATATTATATAGAGAAAGGCTATCTTTTTTCAAGAAAAACTCTCAACTCCGGTTGTTATTCGTTTCTTTCTTTTTTTTAAATATTTTTTCTTCTTTTTATCTCATTCTTTTTAAATATTTTAAAAGTATAATTTAGCTACAACCAAAGAAAAGTAGTATTTGAAATTACACGCAGAAATATGTACATAAAAACAATAATGATATATAATTGCACAAGATCTCTTTGTCTATATGAAAGTTGCATTCTCAATTTGGCCCAAATTTGAAAAAAAGATTTTTGGAAAAAAGATTTATATCCAATTAAAGGATGTTTTTGGGGAAAAAAATTTATTTTTTCCTTTTTTCTTACAGTTTTATACGGGATTGTAAATTTTTCATAATTTTTGTCGAGTGATAGTAGAATTTGTTAGAACTAACACAGATTTCATGAAAGTATAAAATTGATACTAAAATGGATCAAATTGATGCCGAAAATTTGGATCAATTTTTGATTTGATCCACATTTTTTGCATCAATTCGTTGCAATTTGATACCTACTTTTTAATTAACAGTGAATTTAAAAATCAAAAAATGAAATTTTTTTGAAAAAACATATTTTGTTGTTAAATAATTAACAGTAATTTGTTTATTTAGAATTTTGCTTTATTTGTTGATGCTCACTTCAGATAGAAAAAGTTTTTCATCTTTAGAAAAAATATTTTTATATTTTTTCATTGTTTTTTAATATTAAAAATTACTCTTCAACTTTTAGTGAAAGTATAGTCATTTTTACTATACTTTTGCAGTAAAACCTAAGCAGGTTAAAATGTTAGTAATTTTTTTATTATTAATTTTTTGGCAATTTTATTTTATTTTATTTGGTTTTGTTTATTTTTATTTGTATTAATTAAATTGTGACTAATTCCGGAACTAAATTTATTATTTCCTATGTAAATTTTAGCAATTGTTAGTTTTTCCGTTTCTTGCAATTTCAAAGTTAATTTTACTATTTCCGAAGTCAATTTTAGTATTTGCCATTTTTACATTCTCATTTTTGTTACTAATTGCAGAGTTAATTTTACTATTTTCTTTCGAAATAAAAAATGAGTAAAACTTTTCTTTGAGGATAATAAAATTTATACTTTAAAATTTACAGACAGTTTCATTTATCGTTTGTAAATAGTAAAAAGTTAAAAACTATTTTATGATTTTTTCGTGTAGATTTTGTCCTTAAAGAATTAATATTCAGTTTTATGAATAATTTAATCCTTAGCAAATATTTTTATTTGACTAAATTTGCAATTCTTTACAAGCACGAAAAAAATATAGAGTAGATTTTACTGTTTGCAAAGCGCTTTTGAAAAAAAATTTTTTTAATCTCTGCGCCTTTTTCAAAGGAATTTTTACTATAATCTTGTAAAAAATTTTACCATGTTTTAAAGTACGTCTCACTAATATTTTACTCAAAC